CGTCACGTGATTTTGGCCGATTTTTTACCCCCTCGAAGACATTGATGTACCATCAACTGCATCAGGACATCAACTGGTCGATACATATATCTCTTTCAGACATGGAAATCTAAAGACAAACTACACCTCCGATTAGCACGGCTGGCTACGTACGGTGCAAAATAAGTTCAAACATACACAGTGGTGCGATTGTGGCCATGCAACACAAAGTATGAACCATATAGAAAACACTGTAAGCTGTGCTCCTTCAAACCCTATCTAAATTTGAAGTTTTCGTGACTGCAGGGATTCATATTCGTTGGTTCTTTCGGTAAAGTCACGTAGGTATAAAATAACTTTACCGACTTTACAGAAAGAACCAAAGAGTACTCAAACCCTCTCCTGAAGCCCTCTCATGGCTTCCAAACCTCAACATCGGCACTTTTTTTTCCTGAATATATTGCTACCATACACAAGCAAAATTGAGTAGAAAGCATTCAATAATGGGATAATGGGTTCAAGACCAGGATCATTCTCATTGACTACAGTATTTTCTTTTCCAATTGAAAACATTCATGTGTAGTGAGTCCAACTGAGTCGCAGACGTTATCTTGAGAGCAACACTATTTATTACACATTAACACACAACACAACACGATCTACACTCGGGTCTCGAATGCCCATCTAACCACGCTATGGCAGAACTATACACGGTTCGCTATCTCGGTCCGGACCACAAACAGGGTCCCGGATCACGTGGCTAGAGGCTTCTTCTCCCCGACGTGGATCTTCGTAACACCAGCACACGAAGAGCCTTGAGTTCCTCACGGGGCCCTCGTTATATGCCCCCGGCCCGGGGCTGGCTCCGCCCTTCGCCCCGCCCACCTTCCAGGTCTCTCGAGCTCCTTCTCGAAGGTTCCCGAGAGCTCCTTTGGACCATGTGACCGCCCTATGGCCCCCGTCTATCGGTGGCCCCCCTCTAATATCATCTGGTCACGTGACAGCAGGTCAACCAGCGTATAATGCCCCAAGGTAATCCTGGCTGGCTGACGCGCCCTCTCGCTCCCTCACTGGGAGCCCGCACCGTACACTGCTCGCGGTGCCTCTGCGCTAACCAGCGCTCACCCAAGCGCCGCTAGGGCTGGTACTACATCCCGTAACCCGGGCTGCCCGTAATGACAACACATTACCGGCCGTGGCTTCGCAAGCCCCGGCACCATGCAGTGACAAGCACAGTCACTACATATGTATTGCAAGGAAATGGTATAATTCGTTTTATTTTATTGTTATGTTATATGTATATACATTTGAAACAAGGATATCAATCAGGGCAATTATTTTACAACCACAGCATTGATGATAGTCACCAGATCTACATAGTGGAGCGGGTAACGTGGTTGCTTCTCAAGTAGGAAACCTGAGTTCGAATCCTGAAATTAACTTTTTTTCACAAATCTCAATTGCATGTCCACTCAATTATCCTATTCTACCACGCAAGCATCCAGGGGATCACTCTTTCACCACTAGCGAGTGCTCTTATGTTGAAAACCCGATTAAATCCAAATGTTCCTGCAAATAACTGCCTTTAAACTGGTATTTAACATTTAAGCTGTTTAGTAGTGGTGATAGGCCTCCACTTCACGAATTACGCCGAACCTAACCGGCGTGGTGAAGTGTGATCTGGAAACCTTCATGACAGTCACGATGTGGAAAGAGAGGCCTTCACCCATCATTTGATTTAAAATCGGCTGCACATTGTTATTTACATATTTGCTAAAAAGGTTATATACAAATAGAACCAACGCCATAAAATGATGAAATGTGGAATATTTGGCATAGTCATCCGTTAACAATGCAATTTATAATGAGCATAAGGTTTCACATATATGAATTACATTAACTCTGAAGCGCAGAGATTGGTGTCACTCAAAAGCCAAGTGAAATTTATGAGACTTTTGCCGTCTCTTTAAAGTCGGTGGGCGCTGCCACTAGCGGAGGCTGCCGATGAGAAGCGACCCCTGGCAGTGATGGTCTTGGTCATCATTGTAGAGAGGATTTTTCGAGTTGCTAATCAATTACATTAGAATCTTACATTAATTGTGCATACATGTGTGCATGCCAGAATTGGCTGCTTTCGATTAGTATGCGTTGTATGTAATGGGTTCACATGACACAAGAAGCCGCTAGAGGCTACTATATTGACAATTTAAGAAATAATCGATTATTTAAGAGCAAGGATTCAATCGTTACACCCATAACATATATACACAATCACAAAATGTACGGTTCTGTGAACCGCATGGGGATTGTGCACATGGGCAGATGGAGGGTGAAATGAATTCGTGACATTTAGGCAAGGAGCGAATATCACGCTGTCAATGAAGGTCAGCAGAGAGAGAGACAAGGTGCTAAGGCGTTCAACAAATGCTTCTAGTTTTAGGTCAAATTACAATATAGTTCTAGTGCAGGTGAATAAGGAACCTGCATTTGCATATAGCGCAAATTATCTATTGGGTGGTTCATGTGTTCGTAATAGGCATCAAATAATTGTATTTTACAGTGTGTAGAATAATTAACATAAATTGTCACTCCACTGCTGGATGAAGACCTCCCGATGCTGTATGGGTCCGTGAGGGTTGTTTGACCATGCTTCTTCTTTCGTCAATGTGGATTGATAACGTTTCGGAATGGGGCAGGATTAGTTCAGATATCAGTCACCGCCTCTGTTAGCGGTGTTTGGGAATCGAACTGGTGTGTCGGTTTGAGAGCACAGTACGCAAATGGAAAATTAAAGACATAAGCCACAGTGCGATTGTGGCCGAGAAAACCACACTATGGACCATATAGTAAACCAATGTAGTCTGTGTTCCTTCAACGAAGGAATAGCAAAACAACACGAACTCTCACATGAAGCTCTCTCGTGGCAAGCAGACTTTGAAATTGGGCATTTCTCATGAACATATTGCAAGAATAAAAAGCAAATCATAATCCGTCCTGATTAATCCATTGCTGGATGAAAGCATCTCCGAAACGCGAGAGTTGGCGACGCTGTTTGTACTGTACTCTGTGAGCCAATCTGTTAATTCATAAGTTGTGTTGAAGATACCAGTGATAGACTCACAAATAAAGTGTAGTTTAGTAATGCTACACGTAATTCCGATTTAATTGCTTACTATGAAAATGTGTGAGTCTGCTAAAGCTCGCATCTTTTCACGCTCAATAAGATACTGACAGGATGAGAAATGCACTGTTAGATATTTCACGTTTGGTCTGCTTTCTTGCATCATAACGGGAGTCATTATCGTTTCAGTCATCGGAATACTGCAAGTTCAAATCTCAGTTGGCGCATCGCCGCATTCCCTCCAGGGCCGATTGAATTACAATCACTCTGGGTAATCTACAGAACAGCAGTTGTCCGATGACATTGGGTTTACCTCTAATAACATGCATTGTACATGGGTACATTAAGTTACAATTAACAATTAAATGTGCATACAATTTCATTATATCATGTTCAATGTGAAAAAATTGGAGTGCAGTGTGTAAAATGGGTAACACGATGGATTTATTCCATATTGCCCTTCATGTACGCAGGCGCCTCCATAATTCCATTCATTTTAACAGTCTCCTGAACCTACAAGACACATTCTATTGAGGGTCCTGTCGGAGGAATCCGAAATAAACGGAAAACCCCACGCATGACGGTGGCATAACGCTCAAAGAACCACATAGATAGCCACCTGTATTGGCATGGCTCGTCCAATTAACTCGAGTATCGCCCTCCGTTAGGCATTTGCCCCCTCATTGAAACGCTGTAAATGTGACGCTAGGGGGCACGCCAAGTGATTTCGCTACTCGGCGATACATATCTGCATTTTTATTTCATAGTTTGAATGGGAGTACGTCTCTACATTTGATAACCCGCCAGACTCTAACAGGGCGCGCATGGCTTTTTCAAAGGTCAGGGAATCAAATGGCCCTTTGTCCCTGCGATGATGACGTTTCCAATGAGACCACACTTGTCAATATTTGGCCATTTTTTTAGGAGTGTAATCTTGTACACTGACACACGGACACGCATTTTATGAACGTATTGCTTCTATTCTGTGTCATTTATCCAGTGCTATATTTAAAGAGGGTTCCGCATTTGGGTATCTGGACAATTCCAGATATTGGTGTTTGGCTTCATGTGACAGGAATGTCACATAAACGATGGGATGATACTCATAGCCCTCCCACGGACACGCTTTAAATTCAATCCACAGTCTCAATCCAATTAGGGGACCACATATTACTGTATTGTAGACTGCGCCCAGGGTTTTAATTTCAACCAGATTCGATCAAGTTCGGCGACCCGAAAATACTTTATCCGCACCCGGTACACCAAATCCAGTATACCTCTCGCTAAGGCTTTAGCTACTCGTTTGACGTGCCAACTCCAGTCTACGAGCGACCAGGAAAAAAATTGAGTAAGACATTAAACGATGACTCTTCATTAACTCCACTGCCGTCTCCTCACACCTCAACAGCCATACGCGCCTACAACACCTGGCTATATCCATCTGTGGTCATACCTTCCAAGCAACGAACAAACCTCCCACCCTCCCTCCCTTGACAGACACCCGACCATCACAGACCGGGCGCATTCGTGGTAATATGAACACGACACCGCGTGCCAGGAATGGTGCGCCAGATGAACTTCGTCGGGATTTTGGAAGCTAAGCTGACTTTGAGCCCGCATATAAAGTGCTCAGATTAGCGAGCATCGTGCACAACATGTGCTATAGGCTGCGTGTGAGGTTGTACTACGGTGCGGGCAACAGAGGCAGGGCAGTGCGGTAAATGCCATGATTGTATTGCACTATGCGCCGCCACCGCCATCACAAACCCCGCACTGACGAGCGTGATGCATGCAGCACGGCATGGGAGGCTGGGGGTTGGTTTCAGTTTCAGTTTCATTTATTTGGTATAGCCCTGTGAGCCATTCGGCTCTTGAATCGGGTGCAACCGCAACAAACAAAAACATGAACAAGAAACATCCTAAAGTGACTACACGCAAACAGAAAAATCCAGGAAAAGCACCGTATATAAATGCTGTGTGCACAAATCCCAGTGAGATGCAAGTCAAACAATAACAACCATAGGACAATTTAGATTAAAGTTATCAGTCTAACTCTGTTCTACAACAAACAAAAATGGCTAATCCAAAATGTTTTCGAAATCACCAAAATAAAGCTTTAAAAGCAATGTAACAGTGATCATAGGAACTGTGATTGAAATTTTACAATAAACGATATACATAACATGTACGGTGCGGTTGGTAATTCCATCATAAAGTACTTTATACTTCACCACGCTGGTCGAGTACTGCAGTACGATTAAACAGCCCCCACGTCCCGGACACATCGCCCGGGGGGGAAGCCCTCATCCAGCAGTGGGCTGACAACAGGGCCGTCTAACGTGCGCGTTCAAATCCCCATTAGTGCCGCTCGCTTAACATGTTGACAACTTGAAAACTATTGCGTGCGTGGGTGGGTGGTGGCCAGCAAAGGGAACAAAACAGGGCGAGCTTTGAGTCATAGCTGTTCTCACGGAAAGCACCGGCGACTCGCAAAGGGCATCAAGCGGTAGCGAGAAACTGACATGAGAAGAGAGAGGAGAGGGGGGGGGGGTAGCTGCGTGTGAGAGGCCAGCTCATGACAGCCCCGTGCGGGTAACGGCAGGCAGAGGTGCTGTCCGGAGGGGCTCGGACCAATCACCCCGCCCAAACCCCCCTCCCCCATCCAACAGGAATCTTCCACAGGGAAGGTGAAATAATCAACTTCGGCTGTCGGTGCCATCACCCATTGCAGGTTGGTGTCACAAACGCACTTTATTTTGACATGTGGCGGTCGGCAATGCGGTGCATTGAGTTATGGCGTTGAAGAACACAAAAACTCGGCATATTCGTCAATAAAACTGCCCTAAATGGAACTTATATGTGTAATAGACGACGCTTCGACCAGCGGCCCTTCTTCATAGCAGCGATCATAGCAGGGCTTAAATCTCAATGCTCATAAGAAGGGTAATTGCTCGAAACGTCGGCTGTTACTGTACATTATTTCCTTTTAGAGCAGCGTTTTTTTTACAAATGCGCTGAACCTCTAAATTGTGCACCACCGTCCAGCGTATTGTCACAAATGTGTATGCGTGATTCATGCTTTGTAGGGTTGAACATTGTTTCGACTCTAATGACGCGCATGTTGGTAAGCCGATTCTTTTATTTAGGCCTGGTGGTGGTGGTGGATGAATGGCCCGGGGTGCATGAGGAAATGAAATGCTGCTCAGGACAGTTCTGTTGTGTATTACACCATTTTAGCGCCCAATGTGGAAACTTAAAAGAGTGTTTATAGAAATGCTGAACAACCTGCCTGACTCTTATTCACATCATATGTGTTTGTACTTCTTCCAGTCTCAGGGGAGCTGTTCCATTGTTTTTTGTAAATGAGTTTTACCGTCGTAATATTATCTGTTAAGGAAATTAAGTGGGCTTAGGCAGGACACGTGGCTATAATGGATTGATGGTTGCCGGTGATCGAGACTAACGGTAGATTGGCAATTGAAGGGTAGAATATTAATTGATAGGACGTCCACCTCGTAGATGGAGTGATGAGATCAAGTCATGTGCAGATGTTAAATCGGATTGTTGCATCGCGGGACCGTGATAGATGGTGACGGCTTGGGAAGGCCTTTGTGCAGCAGTGGATAGATCATGACTGGTGATGATTACTGTAAAATACTTGACTGCTTTTGCATAATATGAGCCACATGTCTTGCTATGCAATAAAACAGTATCTAGATTAAAAATAGCGCACCATTACCCCTGATAAACAGTCTTACATCGTCTGAATAAGATATTGTCAACAACATACTTAACATAAGCGGCAGTTTGTATGGCAGCGAATCGACATCCAGCCAGAGGAACTGATGACTTAAGTAGAGCTGGGATATCAAATTACAGTATCTGTACATGAATCTATTTTGTGCATAGTACAAACAGCTGGTCTGGCGGGTGAAGTCCTGGTGACTCTACTAAGTCTGGTGTTTGTGATTTATACATTTTAAGAAGAGGCTGGTTAACTGGTACATGGAAGCCTTTGTGTGATGCACTCACCGACATGCACCTTTTTTTCCAATACGAAATAGGAAATAAGGAAATATTAGGCTGCGGACATTCGGACTTTTCGCGGACGCTACAGCTGCCATGGATATTTGAAACCATAATAAAGCTACGGATAAGAGATCTCCAGTACAGTTTGTATCCTCTCTATACTTCCCGCCGTAATTCCTATTCTCTAGATTAAAATGTTCACCATTTGTTGGCAGCTGATGCAACTTCATCATGGGTTGGTGAGAGTAACGGCAGATTGCACATTTTCAAAGGATATTGCAACAATACCTACTCTACTTCCCTTTTTCCCAGATTGGCCCAGCATATGATAAAAATAAGTCTAGACACTAAATAACATACTGTACTTATTGTTACTTTAAGACATTTTAAAAAGGAACGTACAAATGCACATGAAAGTCGTTATCAGTCGCTGACAACTCGAGGTCTCATTAGCTGCACATGCAATTGCAAGCCTGGTATTGCCAAGTTGCCCCTACACAAGTAGGTGTGTATGACAAACAGTATTTTTTAAAGTTGGCCATTCAGGTCACATTGAAACACTTTGCATTTAAGTTGGGTGTGTGTATACTGTATAGGAGACTCACCTAAGTTGGCGGGCAATGTCAAGGATGATCATGTGTAAACTGGTAAGTTGAAGGGTTTTACTTGTGCCAGTAACTCACGTTAAAGGGGTTTCACCTTTTCCAGCAGGTGGTTTAGGAATCGCACTGAGTGCCGCCAGGTGATCAAGTTTGCCGTGTGCAGCCATGGAGACCGCGAATCCCCGAGATAAGAAGGGCCCAACTTTGCCTGCTGCTGTCGGACTACGTACAACAAGAAGTTCCAAGCGGGATCTCTGGCTAACCAGCAGGGGAGGCTGGCAGGCGACTGCTGTGGACCTCCAAGCGCCACCCACCACAGGGAGTAATGCCAACAAAGTTGACCTTGGACACCAGAGCGACAGCCTGCATGCGCATTGCACCCCTCGAGTGTCGTAAGTGAAAAGGGGATAAACTGGAATGTCCTCAATTGCACCCAATTTTACGAGTTAATCTGTTGAGAGAGGTTGAGTAAACAGCACATTCCTTCTAGAAGTGTAATACTGCATCGATTAACATCGATTCAAAAGCTAACAATGTATTGATTCGAGTTTGAAATAATCAATTTGTTGATGTAATGGCGTTGCGTGGCTACTCTTTCCTCTACTTTGAAAAAAACCCTCATTCAGTTTCATGGCAATTCATTGCATCTTGCTGGGGACATTATTACACCCTTACGTTTTAGAGACAAAACATGGAGACATGGAATTTCTTGATTCTTCATATATTATTTATTGTCCTCAGTCTTACAAGTTTTGGCCCACCAAGTTAGGAACAATTAACTGAGCCCTCACCACTGGATTTTAAAATTAGATATAGCTATATGCATTCACAGTACAGGTACGCATTCACACAAGGGAACACACAGTTTTAGAAGCTCCTTATGATTCATTTTGATGACTTATCCATGAAAATATCACTCGAGGCTCGAATTTAACCACAGTATTTTTTTGTAGTTATTCCTTGTTCTTCCATACAAGCCAAACATTACCAACACCACTGTCACCAGCAGGCCTGCACCACTGTTCCACTTTGGTTTTAAAATATCATGAAGTAAACCTCGAGCTCTCGCTGTTTCTCCCAGCAGGGTAAGCGAGCTGCTTTGTAAGCATTCAGAAGACCCAGAGAAGGTCCTGTACAACCTGGGCTTTGGGAAGGATGAACCAGATGTCACCACCAAGATCCCAGCACGTTACTTCTCCAGTGTGTCGCAGGCACGGGGGATCAACGGGCAGGTGCTCCTCGCATCGCAGCTCGCACGCCTCTCAGGCGAGCACTCTGGTCTCGAGAGTAAGTTGCCTCTTCGATGTTCACAACGTTTCTCTGTCGCGCTGTTTAACTCACAGCCACAGCAGGCTCGGCCAAGTCTGCCTTCAGCTGCATGACTATCAACAAGGCCACCAGGAAGAAGAAATTGCCAGTTACAATTCCCATGCTCAGCTAGGTGGTTTTCTGGTGCTGTATTTGTTCTTGGCAGAATTACAACAATTATGTAAGGAATAATTTAAACTTAAAACCCAACTATTTACATTTTATGAAGGTCTTTTTTAACAGTGTAATTTATAGATGTCGAAAATATGGATTATTTTTTTACTGTAAACTGTAAAACATTTTACTCAAACAAAACTATGAATTATGCTTAATTATAAAAAAATTATGCTGTGGATTAAGAATAGTTTTAGACTTACAAAATATATACTAATTTGGCAAATTATGCAAATAATATAATTGATGGTTTAATTTTCGCCTTGTTTTATTTGTTCGCGATTGCTTTAAATTGCAGTCTAATTGCCATAAACTGGAAGTTTGTGAGGTTACATTTATTTGCAGTTTTTAAGGTCCATTTAAAACTATTTTTTACAGGAGATAGCCCCTGTTTTGAGTTGTGTGATAATAGCTTTTATACATTATGTGAAAGGTACTATATAAGTCAAGGCCGTAATTATAATATATATTGGGGGACACACATCCCTCCCCAATATTCAAATATGCTCAATATATATTGCTATAAAATATATTTCTGTTTATATGATTGTGGTTATGGTTGTACTTTATTAATCCCTAATCTCTGCCATTACATACAATGAAACAAGAAAATATAAAAAAACAGAACAATGTAATACAATACACTATTAGATAGTATTGTAAAAAGAAATAAAAAGTCCACCCTATGTGTTAGTGAATTTTTTAATATTTGGGCAGGAAATTCGTTTTCAAATTTCGATATTTTCTGGGGGGGGGACCCCCAGACCCCCTGGAAGATTTGGTCCGCCCCCAAATGTTGACTCCATGGCTATGGCCTTGATATAAGTAAATCAAATATTGATATTTATGATAATGGTGGCGGTGGTGGTGATGATTATGTTGATACTATAATACACTGATAATAAACGACTCATTTTTATCTTGGAGAGGTCACATATCTTTCTGTGCACAGGCCGTTTCCGCCAGGTCAGGATGCTGGCCAACGTGGCTGACACGTTGAACCAGATCTACTCTCAGGTGTCAGGAGTGCACGTCCCGATGCTGCTACCACTGGTGCGCACCCGTAGCCTGTTTGTGCAGCAGGGAGAGGGCGGAAGAGAGAAGGACCAGTGCACTAGCGTTGGCAACATTCAGCGCTCTGGCAAGACGAAGGTTGCCCGCAGGCTCATCAAGACTCTGTCCAAGCACAAATTGTTCGGTGGCACTGTTAACACGATAGATTGCAACTGCTTGATGCTGGTCAGACATAAACTCGCCGTTCCCACTGCCGAGCCTGGCAAAACGTCATTACAGCGACCTGCCATCGCCACTGCTGGTGGCCATTTAACAAGAGAGAGCATGCTGGCTGAACCGTTACTCAAGACTGTACATTTTCAGTTTGGCGAGGCTTTTATAGCAGCAGGTTTAACTAACACTTGTCTGAAAGTGGTTGAAGAAAAATACTCGTGCACTTGTAGGGATTGCAGAGAGCCGGACTCAGGAAGAGAGGTTACTTTTCTAAAGTCTGGCATCTCAATGCTCACAAGCTGCAAGGTGGGCACAGCTGGTGAAGAATCAAGGGCTTGTGGGGAGCACAGAGATGAGCCCTCCGATGTAAAAGGCTGCTTTCAGACAAAATTAACTGATGAGGCGGAAATTCCCATGAGCAGGCAGTCATGCATCCCACGACCAAGTGCAGTCGTGCACAGAGACAAAGGATCATCAACTACCCACCACGGCCCGCAGGACAAGCCCAGACTCAAGGACTCGTTTGACCTGGAAGAGGTGGGGGTAGTGGATTAGGGATGTCAGCTACCTACCTTGGAAACCCATTACCTTTCCCCCCCCCCATATGTTCATATTTTGTACCTCCTAGTATGTAATCACAGTGTTTAATTTTAAAGAAAGTATTTGTTCAATATTTTAATTTTTTTATTAACACTCCTGTAAATTATTATAAGACAACATTTTCATAATTTGCTTTTAATATGATTTCATGAATTATAGGAAACCCCACCAAATGTGTTATTTTTTTCATATAATTCCATGGCAGTCATATATATCATAGCAGTCTACCTTGGTGGACATGATGCATGAGAGGGTTAATGTAGTGTAACCTTAATTTTATACAGGTGAGATCCCATTTACACATGTCCTCTGTATGGAATATCCTGAACACGGGACATAGATGCTAGGGTACAGTGTATAAAATTGTTATAATGCAAAATAAATTTGGAAAAAGTGTAAATATATATAATAATATATAGAATATGGCAGATTACAGTGCAATTTCAGAAAGTTTGAATTACTGAAGATAATAAGTCATACTATGGTATGTAATAATTTAATGTATTCTTACTCATGGCTGCTATTAAAATGCAATGCTACACACATACACTGCCACCGATATGCGGAGTGTGAAACGGTTTAAAAAATATATACACGTATACATTTGCAGCAAAATATGAATATGTTTATTCCAAGTCCTAAATCACCTCACCCTCGACCCTAGGTTCTGAGTAATGATGGAGAGACCTGCCGAGCAGGGCTGCACTCGGCGGGAGAGAGAGAGTTCTGGGGTAAGCGGAGATTTCTAAATTAATGCAATGAGTTTGCTTTCCACCGTTTCTCAACTATTTATCTTCAGCTGCCCCTCTATCTCATTTAATGTACACACAAGCATGCATTAATTCGTACATACACACACTAATTAGGGTCCTTAGATTAACACTAAAATATAATTCTGATTATTTTAATAAATAGGGTGATTGACATATATATCCAGATAAGATAATAGGGATACATTGAACAGAACACGACAATTCAATTCAAAACCTCTGAAATCAATGCTACTGCCTACTCTAAATATTCAATCACTTGTTGAGAAAAAGGTCATAAATGGATCACCCTGTATTTTTGATCAACTATTTTGAATGACATTTCGATGTTACATTTGTTTCATTCATTTTTAAATCTCGAATCCAGGTTTTGTATTTGAAAAATTGTATCTGAATTGTCTCAAATTACGGTTTTCTAGCGATTGCAAAAAAATATCACCGGAATTTACTCACTCGGTCATGCAGTCAAGACTGTGTTGTTATTTACCCGTATTATTGTACATGGAAATTGAGTTCAGGTCCATATGGCGTACAGCCATTTCAATACGGGCAAAAAAAGTGTCTATTTGTTTGTGTTTCTCCCTTGTGATTGTACTTTGTAGGATGAACGTTGAGATGTATATGGGCACGGGGTGACTAATGAGGTTTTAATTGGTCTGTAATAGGGTAAGCACTGCTAAGGGGTTGACAGGTATATGTATGGCACCATCACACACGCCAACCCTGCGTGTATACGCTGTACAGGGCTCCCAGCGCGGACCGGCAGTGCACATTCAGACAGCAGTGGCTATGCCGAAGACCCGGCCGTCTTCGACTGCAGCTCTGCTGTGCACCACCAAGTAAGAAAATCGATTTTCACCAAATGACTAAGATCGTTATATCAATTTCCAAAAACTTTGTAATTGCAGTGTGCAGGTTTATTACAGTTATACTTTGCTGTATTTCCAGGAAAAATCTAACTTCAAAGTTCTTGAACTGCAGGTTACACAATATAAGCCTGCATCATAGGTTTCCACTTAACAACCTATAATGAATATGCTATCAGTTAAACAGTGTGCAATAAAATATTACATTTAACTATGAAAATGATTACTCGTATAGCCACTAAGGCCATGAATTACACAGGGATTTTTTTTAAATTGTTAATGGTAATAGCTGCAGCATTTATGTATAAACTTGAAGTGTTGTGTTATTTAATTATTTTAGTACGTTGAGGACGTCTGGCATTAAAACATCCCCATTAGTGTGCTATACTGAGAGCTCGGTTGCTTTATGTTTCACCCATGAACGGTATTTGATTGTTAACAGAATAGCACGGACTCGCTGAGTGGTGCTGACAGCCAAACGAGCCAAGGGATCCCCTTAGCACCATCATGCATCTCTGAACTGTTGCCGTGTGGATCCCTGCTGCCTCCCTGTGATATGCGGTCGTGGCCACACCTCGGTGAGGCCGTGCCCTTGGCTGACAAATGTCATCGTGACGGGGAAAGCATTGGGCTCAAGACACACCCAGCAAAGAGCTTCTACGAGCAACCTGGGGGATTGCACTTTTCCGCTTTTGAGGATTTCATCAGTGGGTCACAGACATTGAAAAGGACACAGAATGGGTTTTCTGACTCATTGGGAAGCCCACTCATCTACAAAGTGCCTCAGAGGAACATATTCTCATCACGCACACCCAACAGGCAATGCGCAGCCTGCCAGACAGAGCATGTCCCTAGCGAGAACGACAGTGTGAATGTTGATGATGAATGTGTGGCCACTGCACCAGGTGACGCACAACATCACTCACTCAGGGAACACAACAAACAGCGGTCGGTGTCCACTCAAACTGACAGTGTGGACACATCCAGTACAATCAGGGATGCTGTCCCTCCAGCTTGCACGTTCTCACATCTGCCTCTGCGCTCCCACACAATGATAGTGATGGGAGACCACGAGAAGACTTGCGAGTTTGCAATGTCCAGCAGAGGAGGCACGCCTGAGACCCAAGATGGGACTTCGGGCCATCAGAAGTATGCGTGCACCAGCAACAATTGCGTCCGGTTAGCATGTGTGTGCGGGCATCATTGTGAATGCCATCTCTACCTGCAACATCAGTGCCACCAACGAATGTACCCAGAATGCATCGATTGTCACAAGAGCTGTGAGCCACGTATGCTCTTCCGGTCACGCAGTCTGGATGATCTTGTCATGAGCAAACGTGCACTGCACTACAGCCTCATTGTCCAAGTGTGAACCTGTGCGATTCGTCGCCACTGCCTGTGGGCTGCAAAAATTCTGTTAAATATGTACCGTATATTCCTTTGTTACGATCGCCACCTGGTGGTGTTTTGTGTTACATTCAGCGATTTTTGTTATCGCTGGAATTGATATAAAGCATCAGGGTTTATCGCATTATCAGTAGTTTGCCTATGACACCTTCCGACCAAGAAGGAAGATACATCATACATAAGTTATGTAAATACTTTCTAAGATGTATTTGTTCTCGGGAGTATTTAATAAACAATATTAACGTAAAAAATGCCGTCGTGGTGTCATGGTGAGCACACTGGACTTGCCATCCAGAGATTGTCTCTTCGATCTCCTGGCATGGCAGTTGAAACTATTGGCAATATACACATCACTAAGACCCACCAGCAGCAGATGGCTGGATTGGTAACAGTAATGTTTTTGGGTAATAACACCAGGGTAAACTGCTTGGGTAGGCAAACCTAATCTTGCAGAATGTATTTTGCACTGTGCTAGCCGTTGAAAGATGCCCTTTGTCTATATTTTTGTGGTGCTGGGGGATCGGACCTGCAACCATTGTAACCATAACCAAATGAGTCGTGGCCGCCAAAGCAGTTGCTCTCGACCTGTCAGCCAAGCCCTGTCGGCAGTTCTCTGTATAAGAGCCTACCTGCCTGTATATTGATCACCGCGTCTCTGCTTGCCAAAGGCTGCATCGCACACCTTGTCTCCAATGGTTATGTCGGTCACACCTGGTGCTTGAAGTCTGTGACGCCAGTGTCACGTATGTGGGGGCCGACGTCCACCGCACCGCCCTCGCCGGGCAGGCGGGGCGCGACGTCTGCCCCTTTCACTCCCTCCTCCACCGCGTCGGTCGGCTCCCGCTGGGCCCCCGCCGACCGCGTGATTGGGCCCCCCGCGCTAGCACCCTCTCTGAGGGACATACTCATACTGCTGGCTTACAGCCGTACGGAGTTACTCCACACACGCCCGCATACACCACCACTAATGCTAACGCGGTGGCCAGAACGCGCGCGTACCTGCAGGTGGTTATATCCTAACACGCGCACACACCACAGCTCACGCTAGCTCGGCGGCGCGAACGCACGCGTTTCCCCACGCAGTCGCTCCACACACAAATCACAGACAATACACCTATGCTCTATGCTAACTTTTATTCACAGCGCAAACCCTGCACTACCCGGAGAGAATATTCTATGAGCAGTGCCTAGCCGACTGCTACCCAAGTCCCCAAATACACTCCCTATCACATACCTTGCAGCTGTACTCACGGCGTCGCAACGGACTATGTGAGAGTCAGAGGGAGGATGACGACAAAACCTTGCCTATCACTGCCTCGTGGCAGCACTCGCTGGCATCATACGGATGCTGCGAGCGGCTCGAAGAGGCAGGACGGCAGGGGGGGGGGGCTTGGCGACCAAGCTGTTGAAGAAGAGTTCTCCTCTGAACGGTTTTTGGCTCCCCTTTTAATGCCCCTTGACTTAAAAAATCCAGGGTTACGTTATCCCGCGCGGCCAATCGTGCACCGAACTGTGATTTTCGCTCGTTTTCCTTCTCGTACATGAAGCGTTGCAATGGTTACTTCTGCGACCTATTGTCTATGCACCTGTACTCATTAATTTCTGACTCAACCTGTTTAATCTGGAAGGACGCCCGGCTGGTGTATTTAACCTGGGGATGGGGGAGGTGGTGGCGCTGGGATCCCCTGACATCATTGTCTGCTCTGCTCGCTTAATATTTCACCCCAGCCCCCCCCCCGATGTCGTGCATGACTCATTGCGGCTGGCTCGGTGAACCTTTGTGTGCCCATACAATTTTAAGCCATATTCTTGGTTCTTTCGGTAAAGTCACGTAGAAGGGAAAAACAATAAAATAATAAAAATAAAACAATAAAATTCTCACTAACAAAATAATAAAAATAAAAAATAACATTCTCACTAATAAAATTATAATAAATCTAATTTTATTGTTTTTCCCTTTTACAGAAAGAACCAAGAATATGGATCCCTGCAGTCACGAAAGGTTTAAATCTAAATTTTAAGTACAAACTCTTGCAAAATGCCAACCTTGTAAAATATGCTCAGGTGCGTTATTGTGCACTTGCTACCACTCAAAGGGTATACAGTATTTCTTATGTTATGTTAAACATAAATACAGTTGTATCATTTTAATGATACCCTATTATATATGAACACTATTATATGCAATGTTGTATGCTGTAATGGTCAGCGCAATGGAATATCAATTCAGATGTCACCGGTTCGAACGCCATTGACACAATGGCAGTTAAAACAATAAAATAAATACACTCCCACACCACAGTTAGTCGATTTACATGTCACGTGTCATGAATTCAAGGCGTCTGCTCAGTTTGAAAGGGTAGACGAAACACCTTCTTGGAGGGGCTCTTTAGAGCTCCTTCTAATGGAGACTATTTTGCCACTCATGTAAGCAAGACATTTCAGGGCCGCACCTTTATCGTATTCTGTAAATGTCGTGCAGACACTATACTCTGGAGACTAACGCAGTACAACCAATCTGTGCCATGAACGCGTACTTATAGATTGCCTTGCCAAACCCTGGCACGTTGCCACATCTAATTGCTCATTGTATCTTTCTATATTAATATTTAGGTTCAATGCAATGTTGTATATATAGGCCTTTTTCCAAAATTGATATTAGAATAATTATTCTAATATTTGTTTTAATAATTGATCGGGGCGAGCATGGGACATGAAAGGGGAGGCACACCCTCCCCCGGCCCCCCCACGAGCAGATAGATGCCTTTCACACCGACCAAGCCAGAGATAAGCCATAAAATGCAATTAAAAAACAGGCGTTGCCAGCTTCCCGGGCGGTGAAAACCGAACAGACAAATATTTTTTTAGGTTATTTTAGTTAACGGAAAAGTACAAAAACTTAGCGACAAGAATGAGTCGACATCATAGTCTATACACACTTACCCAGTGAAGAAACCAGACTCAGTCACATTGGTGGCCTTGAGTTATTAATTACCTTATTTTACTCTAATTCACCTCACATATTGTTTCTTGTTGTATCTTGTTATCTACGTTACTTTACAAAAAAACACGGAAATATGAATTCCAGCAGTCAAGAAAGCTTAAGTGAAAACTTTGTTAGACCTCTAACCTCAGGACATCAAAATATGACTCGAGTAAAACAGCACAAATCCTTGGATGCAAACAGACAGCAAAGGTTAATAAACTATAAGAATACGTGGCAATAACAATGCAAAATCACAAATCTTGAATAAACATAATCCAAATAATAATTATGAAGTATTAGACCAAGGGTCATCCAGGAGGGATGAGGCAAAATAATAGGTAAATCACACATAACCAAGATAAATGCATCTCATAGAGAGAGAGCCTCCCAACCGCCTTTGTCTCCCAGCAGCACGTGATAGAAATTTGCATATGCATGCAGAGGGCATCTCCCTTTAAACATAAAAATCAGACACCACGATGGAAGTACTGTAAACACTACATAAAACATACCTTGAGTCACTTACAGAATCAGAACTACAAAAGGGGTACGGTATCAAGCTATAAGAGGTAAAATAATATGTTTTTACTTCCAAATGGTACAACAGAGAAACAACTTCAAAAGCCACAACACCCCTCTTTGTGAGAGTGAAAAGAATGTAACACCTAGCCGTGGGGGTAGAGGGGGGAGAACGCAACTGAAGAGGGGAACCCCCCCTCCTTCCAGATTAATTATTGCAGAGGGTTGGAGAATTGGAAGAACGCACTTGGGAGCAATCTGGAGCAGCTGTTTCCATTGATGGCTTGAAGGCGACAGGAACCAGGCCATGATGAAACTGAGAGCAAAATCAAAGGAAGGTCCGGTGCTTCGTGAGAAGGCGAGCCAAGGGGAAATAATTTTGCAGATAAAGACAGAGACACGACCCATACATAGCGGCTACTGCAAGGGACAGAAGAGCTACGACCAGCGAGCAGACTCCGGGGCATGGCCTCGGGATCAACAATGGATGGTGTCTCGCAGAGAAGAGGGGCGAGGTGATGCTTGGTGCTGAGTTCGGCATGGACTAACATAGTATCGCTGAAAGTTTTATTCTACAGTTCTGATGTTTTGAGTCACTTGCAAAGTCAAGGATTGCGATAAGTTGTATTGTACTAAGCTTTCACAGTTGTGTAAGAGGTGTGGATACATTTACACGTTTTGAGAGTGAGTCCCAGGTCCCACGAGCAGCTGCAGCTCGAATTGAGCTGACGAGCAACGTCAAGCAATCAACCTCGAGAAAGGGCGGAAAGCGCCACGCGTCGACCAAGCCAGCATCACAGAGAACCAGCTGCATGTGCAATTGAGCACGGAGCAGGAGAGAGCACGCAGCAGCGCCACCAAGCGCCACCGAGCAAGGGTTTCAGCTGCCAGCGGACAAGCGACCAGCGTTGTGTTGACTAAGCTAATCCAGCAGGGGAAAGAGCCTGACCAGCCGCCCGTGAGGAAGAGGAGAGAGCAGGATAGAGCATGTGCCCCCAGCGCCACCGAGCAAGGGTGTCTGCCACCAGCGAACGAACTGTGAGCGTATCGTTCATCGCCAGAGAGCACGGAGCAGGAGAGAGCGCGTGCCCCCAGCGCCACCGAGCAAGGGTGTCAGCTTGCCAGTGGACGAGCGGCAAGAGCGATCGAGCATCTTCAAGGACCGTGCCGACGCAGCTTATCCAGCAGTGGAAGGAGCCTGCAGCTACAGCAGCAGCAGCTCCATCTGACGCCCTGAGCATCAGAGAGCAACAAAGCCGTTTGTATGACACGCCCACACTCACACGCTACCAACGCATCGCCCGGCGTCTGCCTTACGCAAAGAATTGATCAAGAAGACCAAACCACACACATAAACATACCCGGACCAATAATAAGGATCAAGGAAACAAACCACGACACACACATGAAACACATACCCGGACTAATAACAAGAAGACTAATAATAATAATGCGTCAACTATTATCTGATAACGAAGAACATTGCTGCCCATTGAGTTACGTGGATACGGTCGTTTAGAAGTATTTTAGTCGTTATTTTTATTTTTAATTGCATACATTTTACCAATGAATTAATCGATAAAAACTAAACGTTTAGAAACCTACGTTACGAATCTACACACTCACATGGGGAATATTGTGTTGAAATCTTTCTTTTGATCACAGAATCTTCCCCGAGAATGTAGCCTTAGCCAATTGATAAGCATCTGCTGAAGCAGGCACACTGCCGCACACCATTGTTCCAAGACAATTCGTTAAATG